GTAAATGTTCATAGAAACAGATAACCTCATCTTTTCCCCACAAGGTGGTTGGTGGTCTTGAACCGCCAACGGTGAGGGTTAACAGGTACCACTTACCTGACAGTGTGCCTTTAAGAACATAATAGCAAAGTGGAATTCAGGAAGGATTTACTTGTTTCTAATTTGACTTTTTTTTTTAACTTTAAAAATACTGGCTCTGTTTTTATCCCAAAGCTCCTTGAAATGTAAAAATAGCAGAGGAGTTTCAAAGGTATATTTTTACCTTTAGTGGAATAACTGGCCATATTGTAATTGCTACTGCAAAATAATAAAACCTCTGTGGAACAGCTTGGTTTTGAAGCCCTGGGTTCTAATGCTGACTTTGCCACTTTCTAGCCCTGTAACTTTGGGCAGGTACCCAAACTCTTTTTCCCTCAGGGTACAGTCGGAGAACACATTTCTTCCTCATAGGGATGTTCCAAAAAAAGCCAATCTGAACTCACTGCCCTCAAGTCAATTTTGAGGATCCCTGAGGACTTCTGAGACTGTAACTCTTTTTAAAAAAAAATCATTTTATTAGGGGCTCATACAACTCTTATCATAATCTATACATACATCAGTTGTATAAAGCATATTTGTACATTCATTGCCCTCATCATTCTCAAAACATTTGCTCTCCACTTAAGCCCCTAGCATCAGCTCCTCATTTTCCCCCACCCTCCCTGCTCCCCTCTCCCTCATGAACCCTTGATAATTCACAAATTATTATTTTGTCATATCTTGACCTGTCTGATGTCTCCCTTCACCCACTTTTCTGTTGTCCACCCCCCAGGGAGGAGGTTACACATAGATTCTTGTAATAGGTTTCCCTTTTCCAACTAACCCTCCCTTTCTCCTCCCAGTATCGCCACTCACACCACTGATCCTGAAGGGATCATCGGCCCTAGATTCCCTGTATTTCCAGTTCCTATCTATACCCGTGTACATCCTCTGGTCTAGCCAGACTTGCAAGGTAGAATTCGGATCGTGATAGTGGCGGGGAGGAAACATCTAGGAACTAGAGGCAAGTTGTATTTTTCATCATTGCTACATCACACCCTGACTGGCTCATCTCCTCCCCGAGACCCTTCCGTAAGGGGAAGAAACTGTAACTCTTTAGGGGAGTAGAAACCCTCGTCTTCACCTGAAGTGAGGCTGGTGGTTTCAAATTGTTGACCTCCTGGTTAGCAGCCTAACATGGAAACACCAAGTTTGGGTATTGTGTTAGTCCGGGTAGATTAGAGAAAGAAATTCATAAACACTCATATGTATATAAGAAAGATTTTTATATACAAGAGCAGTTGAATATTGAGAAAACATCCCAGCCTAGTCCAGATCAAGTTCATAAGTCTGATTTATATGTTTGATACCAACGTGTAAAGTCCTTTTCAGACTCAGGAAACACATGCAATGATGCCAAATGTTGGAAGATCACAGGCCAGTGGGTGGGAAGTATTGTGGATCCAGTGGTGGTAGAAGCATCTCAGCACTGGCAGGGGTCTTCATGTGGCTCCTTCAGCTCTCAGGGCATGGGGTCTATCAGCAGAGTGCCATGTGTCTTGTAAGTAGAGCATCTCTCAAGGAATGAGCAGAGAGAGAATCTCCTCCCTCCAAGGAGGAAAAATAGGAATTCCCAGAATCCTCAGGGGAAGGCCATGTCCACACAGAGGCCTCATTGGATATACAATGATTGACAGACTAGACTCCACTTTTTCACTCTTAATCCTCTCAAGTCCCAAATTGACACTAGATTATGTAACTACCACAGGCATCCAATTGGGATTTTTATCACTGCGTGAGCCATAAATGGGATTGGGTGGCCATTAAAAATAGCAGTTTCAGAACATGTGTTTTGGAAGGAAAATACTTGTATGTGTTCATATATGTTTTCCTTCAAAAGAGCAAATAGTAGGCATTTCCCATCAGGGGACAGTATCTATTTAGCAGATTGAGGGAAGACACATAGCTTCTCAGTATTTGTTGTGATGCAAATAAATTAGAGCCACAGCACCACACACTTTAAGAAATTCCAGAAACCTTGGATGGTAAGTGTGTGAGCATTTCTGAACCCACATGGCTTGCATGGTGCGTGTGGGGCATGGAGTCACGGGGAATGAGTATCTACACCCTGAGGTGCCTATGATATTACCCTGGTTTTGCAAACAAGGAAGCTGGAACTCAGGGAGTCTAAGTAATGTCGTCAAGGTCCCCGTCCCAGCGAGGAGTTGAGCAGAAGCCCACTATGGACATCTTGAATTTCGTTTTGCACTGCCAGTTCACCTCCAGATACCCTTCCCACTAACAGACTGATGGGACAAGTTCTGACTTCACTCTGCTGAGCCTCTCATTCCAGGGGTAGCCACGGATCCAGGCCAGATCCAGCAGGAAAAATCTGCAGTCTTCATATCCCATACCTTGCTTAATGAAGCTAGATGAGGTTCTTGACTTTTCCTGCCAAGAATCCGCTCATAAAATTCCTCATTCTGAGCTCCTTTCACTGTCCTCATTCATCAGCACTTCCTTCTCTTGCTCACAGGGAGAAACTTGAGCTCAGGAATGTATCTGATGAGAACTTCACCTTTTCTTGGGAGGGGGGGGCACCCCAAATCAGAAAAACACGGCGAAGTCAACTACCTCGACTGTGTCCATACCCCTGCCTCCTTCTACCATGTGTGGACAACCTTGCAGAGGTAAGAAGAGGCAGGTGAAGCCTAGAGCCTAGAGCGTGAATCCATCCTGGACCAGCGAGAAGACTTAGGGTCAACTGCTCCTTTGTGGGGGCTGGGGTGCACAGAGGTCAGCTTTTGACCTGTAAAGTGGGAAAGCACTTCTAGATGGCCCCCAAGATGTAAAAATTCCACCTGCTTGTTTCCTGGTGTCAAAATCACCCATTTCTGTTGAGTGGTATAATCCTGCAGCTGTTTCACCGATACTTTTCAATCCTTAGATTTAATCTATTCAACAATGTATAATTTTTTAAAGGGAGGCTTTTATAGACATTTCTGAAATATAAGGGTGTGGGGGGGGAGAAGATAAATGGATGTTAAAAAATAGAAAACAACCAATTAAATAGTATATAGCACGTAATTCTCCTTGGAAACTTGCTGCTGAAATTGAGGAGCACTTTAACAACTGGTAATTTAAATTGCATTTGAACTCTGCTAATGGTTTGTTTGCATGAGAACTTCAATCATTCCACAGCGGTTCTTTAGTGGAGCTGTTCATTCTCTTTATGGAAAGAAGAAGAGGGAAAATATGAAAAGAAAAGTTCACTGTCGAAAAGGGAGGCTACTTTCATTAGTACCTGCAGGGGTGTGAGTGAGACCCTCCCCTCAAGGACCAAGGTGGAAGGTGAGGTCTTTTAAAATCTGGGAAGTCAGATGCTGTAGAGACGTGCAATTTCCATCACCGTGTGCCAGGAGCAGCTTCTCTTTCATTGGGCTTGGGTGGTGGGCTGTCTTTCTGTTTTCCAGGAGATTCTACAACAGTGGCCACATCCAGGGCGGGCCTCCCAATAACGTCTCTCCGTCTGGTGACTGGCTGAGGCAGGAAGCTCATGCTTTGCTGGCTCCCTGTTGATTGTATTCCGTGTTCTTGACTTGAATGTCCTGGCTCTGCCTCGTAACGGACCAGGTGACTGAGAGAAAGCCACCTGCCCAGTGGACCGCGGTTTCCTCCTCTGTCACAGTGTGTGGTCACTGGGTCCACTGCTGCCACACGTGACATTCTCCTGGAGTTGTCGCCTTCCTCTTGGCTCCCAGTTTTTCTTTCTGTTTGTTGGAAAGGTTGAGATGAGTTATTTTTTAAAGTGTTTCTTAACTTTGCGCATCCATGGGTGTTTCTTAAATCATAAAACTCACTAAAAACATATGCCATGATGATTGGTTCATTGACATTTACAATAAAAAGAGGGAAAATGAGTATGGTAGTTCTTCTGATATGTGGGTTTCTTCTGCATGCACAAAAGATACATTTTAGAACAGTGTGTTGACAGATTGGTGTAGAATCCTTAAGAGTAATTGTTGTAATAAAACAAAACGTGTAAGGAGCATTTGTCTGGAAGTTCTGAGACTAGCCAATTTTCTCCTGCTCACATTACTTTCCAGGTGAGGAAATGGAAGTTCAGAGAGATGCCTGGATTTCAGAGTTAGAAATGTGTCTTCAAACTCATGCTTCTTTTCTCCTTTTATTTTGTTGTGGGAAAGCTGAGGTGAGCTGGGTCACCAGCGCTTTTGTCCCCATCACCCCGGCATAGACCAGTGAACTGTAAGGGCCAGGACTCAGAGGGAGTTTAGGGGGACATAGGGAAGACCTTAGATTTGTGGGTTTCAAACCTGGCCTCAGTCCTGCTGTGATTTCGTCAACAAGTTCATAAACTCTGGCAATGGTAACATTGACATGACTGGAGGTTCATGACCACCCCCTGTCTTAGTTATCTGGTGTGGCTTCCACCATTGGGAGGCTTTAAGGAGTAGGAGTTTGTTTTCTCAGCGTTTCGGAGGCTAGAAGTTTGGAGTTAGGGTGCTGGTCTGCTTTCTCTGCAGGAGGCGCTTGTCTCTTGGAGCTTCGGTCCCTGGGTAATCTGCAGAGAGCTTGCATCTCTCCCCTCTCCTTCTACGTAACTTTATACCAACTCCGCTTCAGGAACATAACCCCCAGACCCCGTGTTAACCAACAGGCATCTCTGACTCACTCAATAATAGGGACCTTAGAGGACAGGGTAGAACTGTCCTTGGGAGTTTCCCAAACTGTTCATTTGTATCTCTTTCTTTTTCTACTGTGGATTGGCTGGTGGTTTTGAACTGTTGACCTTGCTGATTGAAGCCCATCCCTTATCCTCCATGGCTCCTAACCATAGGCATAGAGTTAGGACTTAATCCCAGGCATAGAGATTAGAGGCGAGGGTTTACAAGACATATTTTTGGAGGGAGGAGGGGGCACCATTCAATCCAGAAACACCTTCCATCTCCTGTTTGCTACAGGTGCGGACCCTGAAGTCCAAGAAGAGCGGCGAAGACCAGATCCAGGCCTCCAAATCCCAGCCTACGCTGCCCCTTCTTTCCGCTGGGCACTCCTCGTGGGGCAGATACCTTCCCTCCGTTGGTGAGTCTGGTGCAGAGAAGAAGATCTTCATCTTTTAAAATCAAGGCACATGTTGTAGTGGGTTTCAGAATTCAGCAGTTTCCATTTAAAGCGTGGAGACCAGTCACACGGATGGATTGAGAACAGGGGTGAACTGAAATGTCCTTCCCTTTTTCTTGAGTTGATTTCATTGGCAATGGACAAGATATAATAATTCTAATAAACTGTGTGGCAAGGAAAGGCAGGACTCAGCTCTTGGTAGGTGGCAGGCAGAGAAATTGGAAGAAAACTTGGAGTAATGATGATTGTAGTCTGCCAATAAGTGTACTACTTTCTTCTTTCTCCTTTGGCATGGACTGAAATGTTCTTGAAATTAAAGACCAAAAATTGAAAATGTCAGTTATGGGAGTTTGCAAGGAAAGGAAGTAATATTCCTACATGACTCTTGTTTGCCCTTGTGCAAATTTCTGCTTCCTCTGCCTTCTCATTTAATTTCACAGCATCCCTTTTGAGAATGATGTACAAATGCGCTTTACACAATTGATGTGTGTATGGATTGCGATAACAGTTGTATGAGCCCCTAATAAAATGTAAAAAAAAAAAAAATTCACAGCATCCTTACGGATATGGGCAGAAAACACCCTAGCCCCCACCCTAGCTCCACT